AGGTGTCCGGCTGCACGCCCCCCCCCCCCCCCCCCCCGGCAGAGCCCTTTGCTCCAAGCCCAGTTCACAGCCTGGCCTGCAAAACCCAGAACTCGGGGAGGAGTAGTAGCTTGCAATTTTCCATTCGTTCCTGTCCCCTTGACCAAGGATGCTGCTCCATATAACAAGTGTGGACAAACACCCATGTGCCGTGCACCGGGGCCACAAGCAGAATGAGACCAGTCCCCACCCCAGGGAGAGCAGACAGCTCCCAGATGTGGAACATGTCATGCAGATGACAATGTGCAGGGAGGCAAGGGAGCACAGGGGGCTTCCCATGGTGGGAAGTCCTTGACTTTTTCACCTATTAGGCTGGGCAGGCATGGGCAAACACGGGGTAGTAGAGACATTTCAGGTGGAGAGAAGAGCCACAGCGAAAGCTCAAAGTCAGGGCATGGAGAGGATCAGCCTTCCATTGTGGCTAGAAACCAGGGTGGGAGGTGGGTTGGGGGGAGGAGGCAGGCAGGATAGGACTTGGCCCTGCAGAGAGCTCTGTAGTTAATTTAGTGACCACAGGAAGCCAGTGAGGGCTTGAGGTTAGGGAGAGGGGATGGATTGAACAGAAGGGAGGAAGGCAGAGGAGGTAAGAAGCAAAGAGGGTCTGAGGAAGGTTCGTAAGGGTTGCAGGAGCTGCTGAGCTAGCATTCTTGGGGAAGGCTGTGCCCTGAGAAGGCAGGGGACAGCGATGGCAGGAAGGGCCAGCATCCTCGAAGCTGGTCTTGTCTGCCAGGTTGAAGCAGGAGCAGGAGCCTGGACAGGGTGTGGGGAGAGGAGGGAGGGCTCCAGCTCCATTTTTGCCTTTCTCTTTATAGGTGCCGGTTCTGATTGTGGCAGAAACAAAAACAGCCAGAATCTACCAGCTGGGAGGTTTCTCTCTTCCAAGCCACTGCCCTTATTAAACCACTTAGCCCACATTACTGCTGGACTCCCGGGGTGATATGTCACCTGTTATGATGACATAGATGATGGGCAGGGGGTTTGGACGATTACACAGCAGACTTGGGGCCAGCAAGACAATTCCCCCAGAGGAAAGGAAGATGCTTGTAAGCTAGTGCCATGGAGCAGTGGGTGCAAGACAGAGGTTCAGAACTGGGGTGCGGGAGTCACAGGAACCTCCTGATGGATGAGCAGCTCTTGACAACACCGGCAGGGCCACACTGATCTCATCTGGAAAGCAGAGACCCCTGTCACCTTGATGTTTAACTCAGATTTTAGGACAAGCGGGGAGGAAGAGGGAAGGAGTGCCTGTAAGAGTGTAAATGCCTCTATGAGCAGGAGGTGACGCCTTAGGGTTTTGATCCAGTTTTGTGGAACCCTGCTCCCCACCCCCCCCAGGGGTACTGACTCCCCTGCCCTCCCCCTCTCGAGTGTGGACGCCAGCACTGTGTGAGGGTGGGACACGCTTTTCTCAGTACTGCACATACATCCCTATACCTAGGGCGATACCCCCATTTTATGTCCGGGACACTGAGGCTCAGAGAGGTGCATTCCTTTGTTCAAGATCACTCCCAGAGCTCCCGACTGCCTGACTTGAGAGAGATGGCACGGAACCTGTTCCAGCCTGGTGTCATCAGGCTGAGAGGTGGGCAGTCCCTGAGTGCCCCAAGGCTGGAGAGACGACGGGGGAGAGGAGAAGGCCAAGGGAGCACACAACCAGGAAAGCAAGGAAGTCTTGGCGGGAAACTCAGGCGCTCCAGAGCTCAAACCTAGATACCCTAAGGCGGCGGACTCGTTCTCGGAAAAGAGCCGGCAGCGGGGAGGGAGCGATGCTGAACGCGAGCCCAGCACCGTCGGGGCTGTTAGGGGCCGCCACTCGGCCGCGGTGCGGGTGCCGGTGCCCCAATCCGAGCGCACCGGGGGCTTTCGACGCCGCGCCCATCAACACACCCCAGTGCCCTGGGGTCTCAAAAGCCGCAGGAAGGCAGTCCACCAGCTCTGCCCCGATCTCCGGGTGCCTTCGAGGCTTCTTCCAATGGTGGAGGACGGTGGTCCCCGAAATGAGAGATCACCCGGAGTCTCAGAGACATAGAGACAAAGAGAGATCGGGTCAAGAGGAAGAAGGCTGGTGCGGAGGAGAGTGGGCTAGTTGGGGCCCTTAGAAGGTGGCGAGGGCGCGCGACAGGCAGTGTCAAAGCGCGGAAAAGTGAATGTCCAGTGGAAGGTGGACGTACGAGAAAGCTGGGAGCAGAGCTAGGAGCCGAAGGGAGACGAGGCGAGGAGATGAGGAGGTGGACAGACAGGCGGACGGACGGGTCCGAGGGCAGGGAAGAAAGCAACGTCCTCATCTCCAGCCTCCACCCACCGTGCGCCGTGCCCCAGAGCGCGCCAGGTAGCCCACCTTTGTCCCAGCGCGCCACCAGGTGAGGCGAGAGGGCGGGGCCAGGGGCGGGCCGAGGCCGTGCCTTACCTGTCCGGCCAGCGGGGCGGGGGCCGAGGGGCGCTGGGCGGAGAGCCTGCGGGAGCTGAAAGCACCCAGGGCCAAGGCGCGGAGCGGGGACTGCGCGGAGAGGTGCGCGGGCGGCTGGAGGATGTGCCCAGGCTGAGCGGGGCTGCAAGGAAGGGGGAGGGGGAGGAGGAGGGGAGGGGGC